CGCCTCCTGTCTCACGAGACTCTCCTCTGGCACCACCGCCTTGGTCACCCCTCCCTGCTTCGTCTCCGGAGCATGGCCTCCCGTGTCCTTGTCTCTGGTCTTCCCCGGTTCCTCCCTTCCCTTCCTCCGAGGCCTTGCCCGACCTGCGTCCCTTGTGTTGAGCGACGGTAGAGGGCTACCCCCCACTCCTCCCAGTTTCCTCCGACAGAGGCCCCGGTGTAGACGCTTCACATGGACGTGTGGGGCCCAGCCCGCGTCCGTGGACAGGGTCACGAGCGCTACTTCCTGCTGGTGGTTGACGACTACTCACGTTACACCACAGTCTTCCCCTTGGGAAGCGTCCAGGTCTGGTCCTGAGTCTGCACCCTGCTCGTGTCGCCTCCTGTCTCACGAGACTCTCCTCTGGCACCACCGCGTTGGTCACCCCTCCCTGCTTCGTCTCCGAAGCATGGCCTCCCGTGTCTTTGTCTCTGGTCTTCCCCGGTTCCTCCCTTCCCTTCCTCCGGGGCCTGGCCCGACCTGCGTCCCTTGTGTTGAGGGACGGTAGAGGGCTACCCCCCACTCCTCTCAGTTTCCTCCGATAGAGGCCCCGGTGTAGACGCTTCACATGGACGTGTGGGGCCCAGCCCGCGTCCGTGGATAGGGTCACGAGCGCTACTTCCTGCTGGTGGTTGACGACTACTCGCGTTACACCACAGTCTTCCCCTTGCGCAGCAAGGGTGACGTCACTAAGGTGTTGATCGACTGGATCCGCGCAGCTCGTCTCCAGCTCAGGCGGAGCTTCGGCTCGGACTTTCCTGTTCTGCGTCTGCACTCCGACAGAGGCGGGGAGTTCTCCTCTGGCCTTCTGCGAGCCTACTATAGTGCACGAGGCATCCGCCAGACCTTCACGGTTCCGGACTCTCCACAGCAGAATGGGATTGCTGAGCGCCGCATTGGCATGGTCATAAACGTCGCCCGTACGTCCATGATGCATGCGGCTGCCCCCCATCTTCTGTGGCCGTTTGCGGTTCGGTACGCGGCGCATCAAATCAACATTCAGCCCAGGGTCTCCATGCCGGAGACCTCCCCAGCTCTGCTATGGACGGGGAAGGTTGGCGATGCGTCTGCGTTCCGTGTCTGGGGATCTCGGGCGTTTGTCCGCGACTTGTCTGCGGACAAGCTGTCCCCTCGTGCTGCTCCCTGTGTCTTCCTGGGTTTCCCCCCTGACGCACCGGGGTGGCAGTTCTACCACCCCACCTCTCGCCGTGTTCTGTCCTCCCAGGACGTCACATTCGACGAGTCGGTCCCCTACTACCGGCTCTTCCCCTACCGCACTCCGTCCCTCCCCCCCCCCGCCCCTCTTCCTGGTCCCAGGTCCCCCCCCGGTCGACCCCCTCCCCCCTCAGGGTCCTGCCCCTTCAGGTGTGTCCCAGGTAGACGCTGTTGAGCCTGTCAAGGTCACTGGTGACTCTGGTGCGTCTGAGGGTGCTGAGCCTGAGGGTGCTGAGCGTGTGGGTGCTACACCTGGGGGTGCTGAGCCTAGGGGTGCTGAGCCAGGGGGTGCTGAGCCTGGGGTTGCTGAGACTGGGGGTGCTGAGCCTGGGGGTGCTACACCTGGGGGTGCTACACCTGGGGGTGCTGAGCCTAGGGGTGCTGAGCCTGGGGGTGCTGGGCCTACTGGTGCTGTTCCTGCCGGTTCTCCGGGTCCTTCTTCTCGCCGGGAGCCGCTCTCTCCACTGGAGCTGCGTGAGTGGTTTGCCCTGCGCTGGAGGCGCGCTGCTGGAGCTGGAGGTACAGCGGGCGCTGGAGGTTCTGTTGCTGCTGAGGGAGCTGGTGCCACGGGTCCTAGAGGTGCTCGTACTGGGAGTACTGGAGCTGCCGGGCCCGGGGGTGCCTCTGGAGCGGGAGCTGCTGCGGGTGCTGGCGCCGAGGCTACGACTGCCGGACCTGCGGGTGCCTCTGGAGCTGGAGCTGCTGCGGGTGTTGGCGCGGAGTCTGCTGCTGTTGGTCCTGGAGGGGGTACTGCTGGCGCTGCTAGAGGTACTGGAGTTGGAGCTGCTACTGGTGCTGGTGCTGCCTCTGGAGTCGCTGGTGCTGTCCCTGCTGTGTCTGGAGTCATCGCGCGGCCTCAGCCATACTTCATTCCGCTCCTTCAGCAGGTTCTTGGTCTCCCGCCTTCCACTGGTCCTTCTCCTCCCTTAGAGTGTCCACAGCCTGTCCAGTCACAGTTACAGTTACAGCCCGCCTCCCCACTGCCTGCTCCGTCTCCCTACACTGGTCCTACTGGAGGTCTTGCTGAGCGTCGTGAGCCTGCGTCTCGCCCTACGTCGCCTGTCCGTGCTGCTCACCCTAGTGGTCGCGGTCCGCGTCAGCGTCCTCCTGCTGTCCCTGGCACGCACCGGATGTCTCTGTGTCCGTCCACTGCTCCTCGGCGTGCCCCTTTGCCTTCTCCTCCTCAGCCTTCTCTTCCTACTCTTGCCGACCCGGAGTCGGACTCTCTTCGTGCTGCGAGTCCTACTGTCACGCGTCTCCTTGCTACTGTTGTCACCGACCCTTCCTTTGAGTCCGCTGCTGCGTCTGCCTTAGTTGCTGAGCTGGTCGACTTTGCTGTCGCGTGTCGTCTAGACTACGCCGCGAGTCTTGTTGCTGAGTCTGAGTCTGCCTGTCCTCCGACCGTCGGGGGTGAGTGTGCTCTTGGCACGGACGTCCTTGAGGACAGGCAGGAGGAGTTCCAGTGCTTTGCCACCGCTTTGCCCCATCTCGTGTCCATGCTTGTTGCCCCTGAGGGAGACCCGGATGCACCAGATATCCCGACCCCACGCTCTTACGCAGAGGCGATGGCCAGTCCCTACTCCTCTCAGTGGCAGTCAGCCATGGACGCAGAGATGGCTTCCTGGAAGTCCACAGGCACCTACGTCGAGAAGGTTCCCCCACCTGGGGCGAACATCGTCAGTGGCATGTGGATTTTCAGGGTGAAGCGGCTGCCGGGTTCTCCGCCTGTCTTCAAGGCGCGTTACGTGGCTCGTGGCTTCAGTCAGCGGCAGGGAGTTGACTTCTTCCAGACCTTCTCCCCGACCCCGAAGATGACCACTCTTCGGGTTCTGCTGCACGTCGCCGCTCAGCATGACTACGAGCTCCACTCTCTTGACTTCAGCACTGCTTTCCTACAGGGCAGCCTGCACGAGGAGATCTGGCTGCGCCGCCCTCCTGGCTTCACTGGGTCGTTCCCTCCTGGTACCCAGTGGAGCCTCCGGCGGCCAGTCTACGGTCTCCGCCAGGCGCCGCGCGAGTGGCACGACACACTGAGGACTACACTTGCGGCTCTTGGGTTCGCTCCCTCTACTGCTGACCCGTCGCTGTTTCTACGCACTGACACCTCACTGCCGCCGTTCTACATCCTCGTGTACGTCGACGACTTGGTCTTTGCCACTGCGGACACTGCGGCGCTCGCCCACGTGAAGTCGGAGCTGCAGAAGAGACACACGTGCACAGTCCTGGGTGAACTGATAAGCTATCTTAGCTTGCGGATCACCCGGGACAGAGCACGGCGCACCATCACCTTGACTCAGTCACACATGGTGCAGCAGGTCCTTCAGCGCTTCGGCTTCACGTACTCCTCGCCTCAGTCCACTCCTCGGCCTACAGGTCACTCGCTCTCAGCTCTGCCTTCGGATGAGTCCGTAGAGCCGAGTGGCCCGTATCCAAAGCTTGTGGGCTACCTCATGTACCTGATGACCTGCACGTGACCTGACCTCGCATTCCCTCTTAGCATCCTTGCACGCTATGTCGCTCCCGGCCGTCACCGGAAGGAGCACATGGATGCAGCTAAGAGGGTGTTGCGCTACTTGTGCAGTAAGTCGGGCATGGGGCTAGTGCTTGGAGGGCGAGATCGGGTTGTTCTCACTGGGCACTCAGACGCTTCTTGGGCGGACGACCAGGCTACTCAGCGGTCGTCTCAGGGTTACACCTTCTGTCTTGGCTCTGGCTCTGTCTCTTGGCGTTCTACACGCTCTTCTTCTGTTCTCAGCTCCAGCTGTGAGGCTGAGTTCTACGCCACGGCCATGGCTGCCCAGGAGCTACGCTGGCTCACCTACCTGCTGACTGACCTTGGAGAGCGGCCTCGTTCTCCTCTAGTGCTGTACGTCGACAACAAGGCAGCCATTGCCTTGTGTGAGGAGCACAGACTGGAGCACAGGACGAAGCACATTGCTCTGCGCTACTTCCTTGCTCGAGAGCTGCAGCAGCGTGGTCAGCTTCGTCTGCGCTACGTGGCCACTGAGGCCAACACTGCTGATGTGTTCACCAAGGCGCTTCCGCCTTGTGACCATCAGCGCTTTTGCACTCTTCTAGGCCTTGTGCCCACTAGGCCTCACTTGCTTACCTCTTGACCTTGCTTGTACTGTTGCATATGTATATACCTGCTCTTGCTTGTCTAGTACTGTTATATATATGCACTCCTGCATGTGAACTGGCCTTGTGGCCTTGAACTTGTGCTCGGAATGTGTGCTGACGTTGAGATCCACCCTGAGCTTGCTTTGCCTTGCTTTGCTTTGCTTGACCGGTCTTGTGACCCCTTGTTCTCCCCCACTTTGCCTATGGGGGTGTGTGAGATCATTATAGCTGATGCGTGTTGTGTAGGCTATAGTGGGGTAGCCCATAAGGGGTACAACCCAATTAGGGTTGGTACTTGTACTGTTTTGTTTCATAGTTTAATCATTCACGCTACCTATTCTGAGAGACCTTACCACTCATCATCAAAAGGGTGGCAACGCTACCCAGCAAAGCAGCAAGTTGGCAGCGTGGCAGATCGTTGGCAGCTTCAGGAAAGGTGCCCGCCTATGCATGGTGGCAGTACCTGTCATTTCTTGTTAGAGGAATCTCCTTGCAGGGGAAAATTGAGGCCCTTTGTGGGGGGGTCTACCCGTTGGCGTGCTCATTCTTGTCGTGCCTTTCGAAAAAACTCCTCTCCCATGTGCTCGGCTGGCCCCTCGTCCGTCTCCTCGTTCTGCGACTTAGGCATGCGGAGTAAGACGGCGGGCGTCGCTTTAGATGCGCCTGGCACAGTTTACATCGACAATAACGAGAGAATTAACTCACCAGGCGACAACATCCAGATCTTTTGTGCTTCACCATTCGCGGGGAAAAAGCGTGCCGCGTCGAACGATGCAGTCCCCGTAAAGAGCTGCGTCGAGTCAGTCCCGGAGGCGAGCGACGGCCACGACGAAGAAAAATGGCCTGAAAACGGTCACTATGGCGATGGTGAGACGCGTGCTACACCTGATCTGGATGTCGAGGAGGACGAATGGTGGCTGAAAGACTATGGGGATGAGGAGGTGGAAGTGTGGCGTTCAGGAGATGATGAGGAAGGAGATGCAAAAGCTGGAGATGGCCGTGCTGGAGATGGTGACGCGGACACTGCTGCGGGAGTGCGGCGTGTAGGATTTGATGAGGAAGGTGATGCGGAAGCTGGATGTGGCCGTGCTGGAGATGTTGAACCATCTGCTGCTGCAGCTCATGAAGGCAAGGGAGAGGATGGTGATGCCGCTACGGACAAGGGTGATGAAGACGAGCCAGGGAAGATGGACGTAGACGACGTCCCGCTGTTTCGGCGTATTGTGAAGCACCGGGTTGACCATGCCACCCTAAAAGAAACCGGTCGTTTCACGGCAGCAGAGAAGAACAAGCAGAAGGTCGATGAAGGTCCCTCCCGGAAGCGTCTCACTACGGCGGAGAAGGGCAAGCAGAAGGTTGATGAAGGTCCCTCAAAGCGGCGGGCACAGGCGGCGGAGAAGGGCAAGCAAAAGAAGAAGCGGGCACCAAAGAAGAAGGCACCAGCTGCTGAACCTGCTGAACCATCTGATAATCCAGATGACGACTACGCTGAAGCTGCAGGACCGATTCCGACATACCCTGAGAAGCAGAAACCTAAGGATCCTACGAAGAGGAACATGGATGCAAGGCCGCCGTACCCTCGCAACCGCGGAGAGAAGTGCAGCCGGAGGGGCTGGACCGTGAAGGAGAAGCTGAAATGGTCTAAGCGCTATGCTGAGCTTGGATCTTTGAAGAAGACCGCCGTAGAGACCGGTGCTTCAGTTGCATCTATTTGGCGGTGTGTTGAACAGAGGGTTGCTGGAGTCTACAAGGGCGCAGCCACTAGCAGGAAAAGAATGCATGGTGCCGGGCGTCACCCTCACTACCCCGATATGGAGGAGGCACTCTACCGCCACATCTGTGTGCATCGGGCGGAAGGCATGCCCATCTCCATGTCGGACACGCAGAAGTGGAGCAGGGCATGGATAAAGAAGCACCACAAGGGGAAGGAGTGGGCTGCCAGTTCTCATTGGAGCCAGCATTTTCGCGACCGCTGGAATATCGTCATGCGCGTTCGCACGAAGGTCGGCCAGAAGTTAAGCAATGGTAAGTTTCGTGTTGAATCTCATGCGAATCCCCTCTTTGGGCATCAGTGTATCCTCTCATGCTTGCACCCACCGTAAATTCCAGCAGTGAATCTCATGCATGGAACCTTTCTTCTCTTCTCTGCTATTCTCTTTCCCGTCTCTTCTCTATCCGTAATCTCTCCTCGACGTGAATGCACAGTGTGCAAAGGACTGTCAAGGGTTCTGGAGGCTCGTGCGCATCAACCGTGCGCTGCATGCCATCGACATGGACCGCATCATCAACGCAGATCAGACTCCACTGTTCGTGGAGATGCCTGCCGAGCGCACGCTGGAGCACAGGGGGGCGCGGTCAGTGCCCATCCGTACAGCCGGATACGAGAAGCAGCGCCTGACCGTGATGCTTGCATGCACGGCCAGCGGGAAAAAAGCTGCAGCCATGGGTGTGGTTCAAGATGAAGAATCCTCCGAAGTGCGACAAACCAGAAGGTGAGTTATGTGCTTGAATTTGTGCGAGTCTTTATGGATCTGAGCGAATTTTTAACAATGTGGGCAAATTTGTGAGTTACTATGTAGTGCATGCCCGGTCCGATGTCAAATGATCAGGTGTGCATCTCCCATCTTGGTACATTGTGCCTGGCAAGTGTGGTGGTGAAAGCCCAAGTGAATGGGTGGATGGATGAGGAAGCGGTTGGTGCTTGGCTCAGAGGCGAGATCCTACCTGACCTCAACCCTGTCAAAGGTGCGGCAACCGAATGACTCCTACCGCTAGCACATAGCCCCTGGAATGCTTGCCGCCTACTGCACAGACTCCATCACGCCAGCCATCATCCCAGCAGGATGCACCAGCCAGATCCAGCCACTAGATGTGTCCATCAATCGGTGTTTCAAGGAGGAAGTGAGCGCGCGTTACTGTCGGTGGTTCATGCGGCAGGGCATCAACGTCCGAACCCCCAAAGGTGAGCCAGCCCGCTCGTATCAAATGACAAATGTGTGTGCGCGAATATTTGTAGTCGTAATACCGTAGTGCTATTCGGTCTGGCACATGTGTGTCTGTGTGTGCTTGCTCCCTGGATTGTAATGGCAGGGAACCTTAGGCGGCCACCCCATGATGTGGTGTTGAGGTGGATTGATGAATCGTGGGAGGATATGCCATTGGAGGTCATCGCGAAGGCCTTCAAAACATGCGGAATCTCCAGCTCCCTTGACGGCAAGGAGAATCACCTTGTTCTCGCCCATCTGCGTGCAAGGAGCACGACAGATGTGTCTGAGGACATGTCGCTGGCAGGAACGAGCGGAGACAATACGGGCTTCGTGGGCAAAGCCCCTGAGTGCCCTGCTCTGCTCTGCGCCAGCGCCCTGCCGTGCGCTAGCGGCCTTCCCTGCGCCAGCACCCTGCCCTGCGCCAGCGCCCTGCCCTGCGCAAGCGCCCTACCCTCCGCCAGCGCCCTGCCTGCACCAGCACCCTGCCCTGCGCCAGCGCCCTGCCCTGTGCCAGCTCCCTGCCCTTCGCCAGCGCCCTGCCTTTCGTCCTGTTGCAGTCCGCGCTCTGCTGCCCTGCGCGTCGCGCCCTATGGCAGCCTGCGCGTCGCGCTATGTTGCCCCGCGCGTCGCGCTCTACGGCAGCCCGCGCATCGCGCGCTGCTGCCCCGCGCGTCGCGTCCTATGGCAGCCCGCCCGTCGCGCACGCTGCTGCCCCGCGCGTTGTGCCCTACGGCAACCCGCGCGTCGCGCGCTACTGCCCCGCGCGTCGTGCTCTGCTGCAGCCCACGCGTGGCGCCCTGCTGCCCTGCGTGTCGCGCCCTGCTGCAGGTTGGCGATGCGTCGCGTTTCCGGGTCTGGGGTGCTAGTGCCCTTGTTCGTGATACGTCCGCGGACAAGCTCTCCTCCCGCACCATTCCCTGTGTCTTCCTTGGCTTTTTCCCTGACGCGCCTGGCTGGCAGTTTTTCCACCCCACCTCGCGACGTATCTTCCCCTCTCAAGACGTCACCTTTGACGACTCGGTTCCTTTCTACAGTCTCTTCCCCTACCGCATTGCCCCACTTCCTCCCCCGATGCTTTTCCTCGCTCTAGGCCCCGCTTCGATAGACCCCCTCCCCCCTCAGGGTCGTGCTCCTTCACGTGTGTCTCAGGTAGACCCGCCCCCCGTGGCTGAGCGTGTAGAGGTCACTAGCGACTCAGGTGCTGCTGCGGGAGGTGCTGCTGGGGGTGCTGCGTCTGGGGGTGCTGAGCCTGCGTGTGAGGTGCTGGGGAGTGCGGAGCTTGGGGGTGCTGAGCCTGCGGCTGCGGAGTCTGGAGGTGCTGAGCCGGAGGGTGACGGGTTGGGGGGTGCTTAGTCTGCTGGCGTTCCTCAGGGTCTCGTTTCACAACGCGGGCCTGTCTCACCACAGAAGGCACGAGAGTGGCTTGCGCCGCGTACTCGCCTGAGGAGTCGTGCTGAAGGAACTGCTTGTCGTGGAGGCGCTAAGAGTGCTGGTGTCTCTGGTCCTGGAGGTGCTCCTACTGGAGGTACTGGAGCTGCCGGGTCTGGTACTGCTCCCAGAGCTGGAGGTGCCGGTTCTGGGGGTGCTGCTGCTGGAGGCCCTGGCGGTGGTCCAGTCAACGCTGGAGTTGGGGACCTTGAGGCTGAAGGTGCCGGTTCTGGGGGTGCTGCTACTGGTGGCGCTGGAGCTGGAGGTTCTGGAGCTGCTGGAGGCGCTGGAGCTGGAGGTACTGCTGCTGGAGTCACTAGAGCTAGAGGTGTTGCGGCTGGAGGCGCTGGAGGTGCAGGTTCTGGAGCTGCTGGAGGCGCTTGAGTTAGAGGTGCTGCTGCTAGAGGTTCTGGAGCTGCTGGAGGCGCTAGAGCTGGAGGTGCTACTGCTAGAGTCAGTGGAGCTGGAGGTGCTGCTGCTGGAGGCGCTGAAGCTAGAGGTTCTTGAGCTACTGGAGGCGCTGGAGCTACTGGTACAGGTGGCACTGCACCGTCGCAGCTGTTTTTTGCTCTGCCATCACCGTCGTCTCTGCCACCGCCTGACTCCGTGCTTCACCAGGTTCTTGGCCTCCCGTTACATCCCCGCGCACCACTGCCTGCTCCTTCTTTTTACACTAAGCAGAGAGACTTGCTTACAGAGCGTCGTAAGCCTGCGTCTCGTCTTGCCTCGCCTGTTCGCGCGCGTCGCACTGGTCGTCGTGTTCCTCGTGAGCGTGCGCCTCCTGTCCCTGGCACGCACGCTATGGCACTTCGTCCTTCCTCTGTTCCACTGCGTGTTCTCCTACCGTATCCTCCTGCGTCTTCTCTGCCTGACGTTCAGGACCCTGAGTCTGATCTGGTTCGTGCTGCTCGCCACTGTTGTCACTGTTGTCACTGACCCGTCGTTTGAGTCTGCTGCTGCGTCTGCCTTAGTCTCCGAGCTTGTTGACTTTGCTAATTCCTATCGTCTAGACAACGCTGCTAGTCTTGTTCCTGAGTCTGAGTCTGTCTGTCCTCCATTCGTCGGGGGTAAGTGTGCTCTTGGCACGGACGTCCTTGAGGACAGGCAGGAGGAATTTGAGTGTCTCGCGGCCACTGCGCCTCATCTCGTGGCCATGCTGCTTGCCCGTGAGGGAGACCCGGATGCACCAGACATCCCGACTCCGCGTTCTTATGCTGAGGCAATCGCGGGTCCCTACTCCTCTCAGTGCCAGACAGCCATGGACGCAGAGACGGCATTCTGGAAGTCCATAGGCACTTACGTCGATGAGGTTCCCCCTCTTGGGGCGAACATCGTCAATGGCATGTAAATTTTCAAAGTGAAGCGGCCGCCGGGCTCTCCGCCTGTCTTTAAGGCTCGTTACGTTGCATGAGGCTTCAGTTAGCGACAGGGAGTAGACTTCTTCCAGACCTTCTCCCCCACCCCGAAGATGACCACTCTTCGGGTGCTGCTCCACGTTGTCGCTCAGCGTGACTACGAGCTTCACTATCTGGACTTCAACACAGCGTTCTTACAGGGCAGTCTGCACGAGGAGATCTGGCTGCGCCACCCACCTGGCTTCTCTGGGTCGTTCCCTCCTGGTACCCAATGGAGCCTCAGCCGGCCAGTCTACGGTCTCCATCAAGCGCCTCATGAGTGGGACGACACACTGAGGATGACACTGGCGGCTCTTGGGTTCGCCCCTTCCCCTGCTGACCCGTCGCTGTTTCTACGCACCGACACTTTACTGCCGCCGTTCTACATCCTCGTCTACGTCGAGGACTTTGTCTTTTCCACTACTGACACTGAGGCTCTCGCCCTTCTGAAGTCGGAGCTGCAGAAGAGACACTCGTGCATAGACCTGGATGAGCTGCGCAGTTACCTTGGCTTGCAGATCACCCGGGACAGAGCACGCCGCACCATCACCCTGACTCAGTCACACATGGTGCAGTAGGTCCTTCAGTGCTTCGGCTTCACTTGGTCCTCGCCATAGAGGTCACTCGCTCTCACCTCCACCTTCGGACGAGTCCGTAGAGCCGAGTGGCTCATACCCAGAGCCTGTGGGCTGCCTCATGTACCTGATGACCTGCACTCGTCCTGACCTTCCGTAGCCTCTTGGCCTTCTGGCACGCTACGTGGCTCGTGGTAGGCACCGAAAGGTGCACATGGATTATGCGAAGAGGGTACTGCGCTACTTGTGCAGTACATCGGGCATGGGGCTCGTGCTTTGAGGGCAGAGCTCAGTTTTCCTCACTGGACACTCAGACGCTTCTTGGTTTGACGACCTGGCTACGCAGCGGTCGTCAGAGGGTTACACTTTCAGCCTTGGCTGCGGCTCTGTTTCTTGGCGGTCTACCCGCTCGTCTTCTGTTCTCAGCTCTTGTTGTGAGGATGAGATCTACGCCACAGCCATGGCTGCTCAGGAGTTACGTTGGCTCACCTACGTGCTGACCGACTTGGGAGAGCGGCCTCGATCTCCTCTAGTTCTGTACGTAGACAACAAGGCCGCCATTGCCTTGTGTTAGAGCACATTCTGGAGCACAGAATGAAGCACATTGCTCTGCGTTACTTCCTGGCTCGAGAGTTGCAGCAGCGTGGTCAGCTTCGTCTTGTTCACGTGGCCACTCGGGCCAACACTGCTGAGATATTCACCAACGCACTTCCGTCTAGTGATCATCAGCGCTTCTGTACTATGTTAGGCCTTGTGCCTGTTTCGTCTCACTTGCTCTCTCCGTAACTTTGCTTGTACTATGACCTATATATATACTTGCATGCTTGCTCTTGCTAGGTAGTGATCACTGTACTGTTGTTGTTGCATATATACCTTTGCATGTGAACTGGCATTGTGGCCCTTTGCTTGTGCTCGAGTGTCTGGTGATGTTGTGATCCACCCTGAGCTTGCTTTGCTTTTCTTGACTGGTCTTGTGAACCCTTGTTCTCCCCCACTTTGCCTATGGGGGTGTGTCAAACTAAATATGTGTTAGTTTTGTGTAAGCTATAGTGGGGTAGCCCATATGGGGTACAACCCGAAGTTAGGGTTATTACTTGAACTCACATTTCATCCAATGCAATCATTTCTGCTTGCTATCTTGACACACCTACCTGCTGACCAACTTGGGTGAGAGGCCTCATTCTCCTCTAGTTCTATACGTCGAGAACAAAGCTATCATTCCCTTGTGTTAGGAGCACAGAACGAAGCACATCGCTCTGCGTTACTTCCTTGCTCGAGAGTTGCAGCAGTGTGGTCAGCTTCGTATTGCTTACGTGCCCACTCGAGCAAACACGGTTGATGTGTTCACCAAGGCCCTTTCGTCTGGTGATCGTCAGCG